GGAGCCCATTCACACTTGGCATTCCTTGCTGTGCCATCAGAAATCTGGTGAGATCAGAGCCATGATAGAATCCTTCTCTTCCTGGCTTGTCAGTCAAATCAAATTCCTTCCTCCCTCCTTGGCTTGTTGGCATGTCGGAGCAGCTGAGGCAGAGGGAGCAGCAGAAGCAGAATGGGTTAGCGGAAGCAGAGGGAGCAGCAGAAGCAGAAGGAGTTTCGCTGAAGCAGAGGGAGCAGGGGGGGGGGGGGGGGGAAAGGGTGTTTAAAAAACAAAGGGCGGGAAACCTGGGCGCCCAGGTTTCCCACCCATCCATATGTTCTACCCGCCCAGGTTTCCCACTCAGAGGGTGGGAAACTTGCGTGCCCATCAATGTGTTCTCGTGGGATATAGCCATTATCACGGCTATATTCCTTTCCAGCCATTATTGTGCCAATGTTTCCTTTCAGCCATTATCATGGCAATGTTTCCTTTCAGCCATTGTTATGGCAACTAAAAGTCCTTACCATTGCTTGGGAGAATATATCTCCCAGGCAGTGCTTTGGAAATGCCTTCTTTGGGAACTACTCTGTGTTCCTTTTGTTCCGTTCCTTTTGTTTTGAGAACCACGGTCCTTTTTCTCACCCATGCCTCGTTTTCTTCCTTTTTGGGAACTACTCTCTTTTTGCAGCCCCTTTGGGAACTACAAGTCCTTACCATCTCTTGGGAGAATATATCTCCCAGGCAATGTTTTGGAAATGCCTTCTTTGAGACTACTCTATTTTGCAGCCCCTTTGGGAAGTACCTTCGTTTTCTTCCCCTTTGGGAAATCCCGTACCTGTTTTTCCCGCTTTGACAACCATGTGTCACTTCCATAGGGTGGGAGATTCAATTTCCCGGCCATTGGTTCGGACACCTCTGGTTGCCAGCGCTTCCTTTGGGAAGGTTCCTTTAGCACCTTTGGGACCCAAGTTTCCTTCACCCTTTTGGGAACTTCCTGTTTTTGCAGTCCCTTTGGGAACTGCGCCCTCTTTCTTCCCCTTTTGGGAACTACCCTCTTCCTCTTACCCTTTGGCAGCTACCTCTTTCTAAGCCCCTTTGGGAACAACCTGTTTTTTGCGCTTGCCAACCATACCTGTCACTTCCATAGGGCGGGAAAATGAATATCCCGGCAATTGGTTGAGACAACTCTGGTTTGACAGCGCATCTTTTGGGAACCAATGTTCGTTCCCCTTGTTCTTTCTGCCCCTCTGAAAGCTACCTCTCTGTTGTGCTTTGCAACCATACCTGTCACTTTCATAGGTTGGGAAAGTGAATCTCCCAGCCATTGGTTGAGACAATTTTGGTTGTCAGCACCTCTTTTGGGAACCACGGTTCCTTTGCCCCGCTTGGGCGTTTGTTTCCCCCCTAGCGACGGTCCCCCACCTCACAGTGGTGCCAGGGTGTAACGCTACGGGCAGCAACACCACCTGCTGCCCCTAGCGGCCAAGAGGGGTCCAATCCAGCTGTTTGCCTTGGTAGTCAAGGTGGACAGCTGCTACCACCATCAAGAGGGTGCTATTACTTTATTCTATCTGCTCTTTGGCCTATGCTGGTTACATTTTCTCTGTTTTCTTTGACCTCTATTGCATGGTCCTCTGTGCTCTTTTGTCCTTTGATGATTACCATCTCTCTCTAGTCTTGGGCCTCTATTGCTGGGTTCTCTCTTTTCTTCGACCTAGGATGATTATTATCTCTATTCTTGAGCCACTTCGAATGGGTATTTTGTTAAGATTGTAATTGCATATTTCTTGATTTGGCTGACTCTGTAAAGAAACATTTTCTAACTCCAGGGCTAGATATGCTAGGTGCTTTAGATGTGCTAACATCAAGTGCCAGATATGATAGGATACAATATTCTGGATAGAATATGCCTGCCAGGATACAACATGCCAGGATGCAATACAGTATGCCAGTAATGGTTATGGTAGGAGTGAGGGGCTTGATGGACGGGCTGGCCTGGTATAGGAGCGAGCGAGGGACTTCGTGGGGGGGGGCAGCTTGGATTGGCGTGAGGGGCTTGAGGGGGCACAGGCACAGGGGAAGGAGTAGCGAGGGGGGGGGGGGGGGGGGGGGGGGGGTACTTTGTCAGTATCAGATGAACACATACGCGATGCCTGTAATGTCAGACGAACTAAAACACTTGGACTTTTTTTTCAGACGAAATATAATCCTTTGTCTTATGGATCAGATGAAATAAATTTGATGGTCTTGAAAATCAGATGAAATGAAAAAAGTAGGTCTGATTTTCATACCATCAGACCGATTTGGTCTGATAACCAGAGCCCTGTATGCCAGGATGCAACATGCCAGGATGCAACATGCCAGAATGCAACATGCCAGGATGCAACATGCCAGGATGCAACATGCTAGGATGCAACATGCCAAGATGCAACATGCCAGGATGCAACATGCCAGGATGCAACATGCCAGGATGCAACATGCCAGGATGCAATATGCCAGGACACAATGCCAGGATGCAATATGCCAGGACGCAATATGCCAGGATGCAATATGCCAGGATGCAATATGCTAGGACACAATACCAGGTTGCAATATGGTACCGTAAGCCCCCGGATAGAAGCGCAATCCTCAGATAAGCGCCGGCGCTTATAAAAGGATGACGGCGCTTATATCCGGTCCTCGTTTATAAGCCCACCCCCTAAAAAAAGATGATTTATTATAAGCGCGTGTTGGTTTTTCATTTGAAAACCCGACGAAATACAGAAACAAATTTCACATTACCGTATGGCCCCGGATATAGGCGCCGTCCGATTAAAGGCGCCGGCGCTTCTATCTGGAGCATGGCGCTTATGGCCGGAATTCGATTATAAACGCCCCCCCTGTAAAACACTGACATATTATAAGCGCATGCAAATTTTATTTTTCAATGCTGATTAAAACGGTAACGAATTTAAATTTTCTAGCGAATCAACACCCTCATTTTCACTTTGTTTAACTTTCGAGGACCTACCGGTTGCGCGTCCAGTCAGTATGAGTTGGCACGCGGGCAAAATGACGTGCCAAAGCTCTGTGCACCGTCAGAAGATCGCCCTCGCACGATTCTGATTCTAGACCCTGTAAAATTTCGATTCGATTCAACTTACGAGACTGAAATGTACAATTTGGTGCGTTTAAGTTGTCAGAAAATATAATTATATGTTCTGTTATATAACTGCCTGTAGGATTTACTGTAGTGTAGCTCCTATTGTTTGGTGGTGCACCTTTGTTCATTTTGCTATATGTACCTTGTGTGCTATAGTGAAACCCATCATTCCTCATTTCCATTCTCTCTCGACACTCAACTCTCTTGACACTTACTAGCCATGACTCCTAAGTCTAGCTACTATTCCAACAGTTGTATTTGTCGTTATATAAGCGCCGGCGCTTATGGTGTCAGAATCCCAGTCACTAGACCACTGGGATAAAAGGGCTTGTTAAGTAGCGGGTCAGTGCGCCCATAACCCCCCAGGACAACGAGCCTGTAACCTTTCCCTAGGATCAATCGGGGATCACCAGTGGACCTCTGACACCCCCCCGCACTTGGATGCCCGAAGTGCACACACTGGGATTCGAACCTGAGACCTTCGCTCTGATACCATGTCAGAATCCCAGTCACTAGACCACTGGGATAAAAGGGCTTGTTAAGTAGCGGATCATTGCGCCCATAACCCCCCAGGACAACGAGCCTGTAACCCTTCCCTAGGATCAATCGAGGATCACCAGTGGACCTCTGACATATGGCCGATATTCAATTACAAGCGCCACCCTAAAAAAAGCTGATTTTATTATAAACGCATATGCGCTACTATCCAGGGTAATACGGTATCAAGGAAACTCCTGGAGGCATAATGCCGTCGTAGCGGAAGTCTTGATGTATGACAGAATAGCAAGAGAAACTGGCAAATGAAAGGATTGAGAATAATGGAATGGATCATGAAACCATACAGCAGCAGGGTATTTATGTTATCAGCTACCCTGCCCACATCCGTCCATCTACACCAATAATTGTACCTCCAATAATTATGGCCCTCCAATAATTATACAATTATTGGAGGGCTGGGAGTCTTATAAAGAAGACAACAATAAAATATAACAGCATAAACATATTTCTTTATCCATATATTTTCAACATAAACGAACTACAAATTCGATTTCCCACACCCTGATCTCAATTTTTGCGCGTCTAGTCAGCATGTGCTGTCATTCTGGAAGTTTGAGTTGGCAGGGAATCACTCCCTGCCAAGCTGCGCGAGAATCAGATTCGCGACCCTAGATGTTTTCGACTCGATTACAATCGGCAGAACGAGATCTACAGTTTGGTGTAAAACAGATAGAAATTATTTTTGCCATTTTATAAACGCCGGCGCTTATAAAATTCCTCGATTATAAGCGCACCCCCTAAAAACAGTGTTTTTTTATTACCCCAGGGGCGCTTCTATCCGGGGACTGACGGGTACCTGTATGCTAGGATATCCATAATATTTTAACAATACCACTGTATGCAAGGATATGCTAGGATACCGATATGCTAGGATTCAATATGCTAGCTCTTTATTCAGGTACACTATGGTAGTTGTGCCAAGGTACCGTACAATCATGGTAATCCAAGCTGCTTGGTTGGAGATAAGCCTTCCCAATCCAGGGCTAGATACGCAAGGATGAGGGTGTCAAAATATACAAGAGGGGTGTACATTTTGTCTATGGAATGCTAAGAAGAAAGCAGAGCAGTTGCATGAATGCAAAGCAGCCTTGTAACAACTAAACTATGCTCAGGTTCAGTCACATTTGCTGGAGACACAGCTACTGACTGCTTTTTTCCCTAGGCCACTACCCCTAGCAGACTAATACCGTAACTGCTTCATGACTGCAACGAGCTGGTGCACACTCTACTATGTTCTTGTGTGGCAAGAGCAAGTGCAAGAGCAAGAGCAAGAGCAAGAGCAAGTACAGCATAACTCAGAGTTCCGTGCGAGCAGACGCGATCAGTCAGTGAGGGCATCGGCGCGCAGCGAGTAGAGCAGCAGACGACCATCCTCAAGCCCCACGAGAATGGCGTCCTCACTGGTGATGGCAATGGAGCACGCGGGCACGCCCACCCCCTCGTACACCACCACTGTGGCCAGTGTGAAGAAGGACCGTACTGTCACCCGCCCCGCCGCCCCCGCTGTCAGCAGGAACTCGCCACACGCACTCGCTGCCATGCACGTCACACTGTCCACCTCGGATGCCACCGCTGCTGCTGTTGCCTGTCTTGGGGATGCTGGCGTTGGTGGTGCGGATGCTGTTGGTGATCGGACTAGCTGACTGCCAGTGGAGTCAGAGCCAGGAAGGGACACAGGCCCAGGCATCCCACTGCTTTCACTACTGCTACTCGCAGCTGCTTTATTCTCTCCGCTGCTGGAACTACCCCCTGCAGCACCTTCTTTGTGAATCTCCGCACCACCACCAGCAGCAACACCAGGAGAAGAGGCAGTGGTGGAAGCAGTGGTGGTGGCAGTGGGTCCGGTGGGAACGGCAGCGAGCCACTTGCCGTTGATGGACGCCACACGCAGCCAGCCGTCCGCATCGGAGTGCACGGCCACCAGCGCCAGCTGGCTGACCGCCATTCGCTGCACGGCGTGGCGCAGCGGGTGGCGGATGCAGCGGATGAAGCGGCCCGAGGAGAGCGAGTGCAGCAGCAGCGAGCCGTCCAGTGAGGCTGAGAGCACCAGGTCGAGCGGGGAGGAGGCGAGCACCTGTGTGACCACGTCGTCGTGGCCGCAGAGGAGCAGGTGCGGCTTGCAGGGCAGCACTGGGTCAGCTGAGGGGCGTGGCTGTGTGCGGTCCACATGCCACACCATCACTGTTGTGTCGCGACTGCCTGTCGCCATCCACAGGCCGTCCTCTGATGCTGCGGGTGGCGGGAGGGAAGGAAAGGGAAAAGGGGTGGGAAGGGGCGTTGTGGGGAGTGATTGTTGGGGTGGGGCGGGACGAGCAGATAAAGAGGAGTGTGACTACTGGCAGCAAGGAGCTTGGCACGCAGCAGGCTGATTTGATCACTGGAGCAGCTGAGATGCGGAGGACGGACTGACCGGACAGAAAGCGGGTGGCAACTAACCAGAGAGGCAGGTGACAACGTCGGTGTGCTGCCTGACGGCCTGCAGGGTGCGGCCGTCACTGACAGCCACGAGGCGCGTGGAGCAGTCCCAGTGTGCGGCGCACAGAAGGAAGGGCGAAGAGGCCCCGCGCAGCAGCGCGAAGCAGTGCGGACTCACGTCCCCACTCGTGGAGGCGAAGGGCGCCCCGATGCGCCGAGAGATGAGCGGCTCGCTCAAAGAGAAAGGCGCGTCCTGGTGGGGTGGAAGGGCGGGAGATGGGGAGGGTGGGAGGGAAGTGGGCGAAGGAAGGGGGGGTTTATTGGTGCAAAATGAGGTTGCTTGGGGATGAGGCAGTGGGCAGACAGGGAGACACTTCAGTAGGAGTGTGTGAGTGACAAGAGCAGATAGCTGCATTGTCCAGTGCATGTATGCAGGGTGCCATGCACAAGTGGTGCTTAGAGAACAGACTGACTTTTGAGACGTCTCAAAAGTGGTGCTTAGAGAACAGACTGCATATGTGCAATTTGTATGCATGTGCGTGCATCTTCATGTGCGTGCATCTTCATGTGCGTGCATCTTCATGAGCATGCATCTTCATGTGCATGCATCTTCATGTGCGTGCATCTTCATGTGCATGCATCTTCATGTGCATGCATCTTCATGTGCGTGCATCTTCATGTGCATGCATCTTCATGTGCATGCATCTTCATGTGCATGCATCTTCATGTGCCTGTGAGTGAGTGCGGATCCCATGAGCGCCTGCTCTCACCGCAGCCAGCACTTGGTATCCGGAGCTGTATGGCGTGTTCCACAACCGCGCCGCCATGCACTGCCCCCTCGTTACTGTCACCACCCTCCCCTGCGCCACGCCCACAAACACCACCCCCACCTCCCACTGCTGCCGCAGCACCTCCCCCACACTCCCCCCCGCGCCCCCACCACCACTCGCAGCACCACCAGCAGGGGGGCACGCCGGCACCACAGCAGAAAGCCCAAGCGCCGCCGGCCGGTGCAGCAGCGGGCGGGCGGCGCGGGGCGGCGGGCCGCGGGGCTCGTGCGGGCGGCGGAAGAGCTGGGCGGGCGTCTGGCCAAAGGCGGCGATCTGCTCCTCTATGGCAGCGCGATCCATGGGGTCGTCTAGAGCATCCATGTCCACTGCACCCTCGTATGTGAGGTAGAAGAACACGTTGTCTGCCTCCATAGCTGCCAACCCGCGCTGCTGGTAGCCGAAGATGAGGTCGATCCAACGGTGTAGGTTTGAGCTGACCCACTCGCTCTCGAGGGCCTCCCGGTTGAGACGCACGAAGAGCTCCGGACTGCCCTGCTCGTGGGAGAGAGGGGGGGAAGCGGTATGGCGTGGCATGGCATTTGTAGGGACGGAGACAAGGGAGACAAGAGCAAAGAGTTTGACACCTACTTCCGGACACCCCCTAGCTTGCTTCACACATATGCCCTGACATCCCTCGTTCGTTGCACCACACCCCATCCTTTCACCCCGTGCGCCCCATTGACCTCACCTGGGCCCAGGGCGGCAGCACGACGTCGTTGAGCATTGAGCCGTCCTGGCACTGCCCCAGGAAGAGGTGGTTGGCGTTGGCGAGGAAGTCAGGCACCTTTGAGGCGACTCAAAAAACACACCTCATCCCATCAACCCCTTTCACCCCATGTGACCCACCTGCGCCCAGGGCGGCAGCACCACATCAGGAAGGCGGAGAAGCGCGGGAAGCCGTGTAGGTCCCGTACCATCTCCAGTGCCGCTGCGTTCAGGAATCTGAGGGGAGGGCAGGAGGAGAGAAGGGCCATGGGAAATGAGGGTTGAAGAAGAAAGGGAGGGAGTGGAGAAGGCGAGAAGACAAGAGATAGGTGTTTGAGAGAACAGGAAGCAGGAGGGCAAGTGAAGCGAAGAGAAGGAAGAATGTGATTGCGGGCGGGTGCAGCGAGGCAGGAGGGTGCGTGCAGGGCAGGAGGGAGGGCGCAAGGCAGCAGTGGGTGGCAGTACGCACATGGCCTCCTGGATGACGGAGAATGCGAGCAGCTGGATGCTGAACTCCTCAAACAGATCGTTCTCCAACTCCATTATTCGCTCCCTGGCCCACAGGACATGCACGCAACGCACACACAGCAAGCGGGATGGGGTGGGGGGGGGAGAGGGGAGAGGGGAGAGATAGGGAGCAGGGATACCGAGATGTGGTGTGGGTGAAGAACAAGGATGGAGAGGGATGGGAACGAGGCACTGGGAGTGAGCTAAAGTGAATGGGGGCACAGCCGCTGGCAGGTGCTGGCAGAGCAAGCAGCAGCATGGGGCCTTGCTTCATGTGTGGCGCTCACAGGTGGCAGTGAGGGGCGTTGCTCACAGGTGGCAGTGAGAGGCGTTGCTCACAGGTGGCAGTGAGAGGCGTTGCTCACAGGTGGCAGTGCAGGAGGTGCGAGGGCCAGGCGATGAGGTCGAGGGCATGGTGCAGGCCTTGAGAGGCGATGAAGGAGGCGCGCGCGGTCACACTCGCGTACACCACCGACCGCATCACCTGCAGCGCCAGCAGCAGCGTGCCGCCCGCCTCTATGCAGTGGGCGGCTCGCTTCGTCTGGATCTCCCGCAGTGGCGAGATGAGTGCTGCACAGGGGCGGGGGAGAGAGGGGGGATTGACAAGCGCGGTTGAGTGGGCAGCGTGGGTTGGGGTGGCGTGGGGTGGAATGGGGTGGGGTGGGACGGGGGGGTAGGGTGGGTGAGCAGAGGGCTATGGGTGGTGTGTGAGAGAATTTAAGAGGGGGTGGTGGATGGTGGATGGTGGATGCTGGATGCTGGATGCTGCCTGGTGGGACTGGCCTCACACCCATCCCTCCCCCCCAGGAGCAGGGGCTGCAGGGGCATGAGCACACACCGAGAAGGGCAGCCAGCCCCTTGGTCTCCACGGCCTCCACGATGGCGCGCACCTCGCGCACCCCAGCAAGCGCATCCTCCCCCTCCGCCCCCCGCGCCCCCGCCTTGCCCCCCCACGCCGTCCCCGCCAGCTCCTCCCCAAACCCCAGCCCCCGCCCCCCCCACCTGCCGCTGCTCCTGCCAGATCCCCTCAGGCGAGCAGAGGGGGAGGTCAGGAGTCCCGGAGAGGGGGCGCCACTGCGGGGGGAGGGGGAGGCGCGGGCGGGGGAATGAGCGAGGGAGGAGAAGGGGGGGGCGTGGGTAGGGGGGAGGGGTTGGTGGTGGGCGAGTTGGCGCATCTCGGCATCGAGGAAGTTGGCGAGCAGGGCGAGTGCGTTGGTGGCGCAGCTCAGCAGCACACCCACCAGCACACTGCGCCGCTCCCCACTCAACCACCCCCCCGCTGTCCCCGCTGTCCCCGCTGCCCCCCCTGCCCCAGCTGCCCCCGCTGCTCCACTCCCCTCCCTTCCCACACTGCCTGCACCAGCTGCTGCCGTTGAGGTGGCATCCCCGTCCCGCTCGCCCCCTGCCTGCCTCACTCCAAACTCTGCCCCCCACGCACTGCCCCCCCCCCGGCTGTTGCTGCTAGTGCTGGTGGTGGTGATGCTCCTCCCCGGTGTGGTGCGAGGGGGGTCGGGGTGCGGCGAGGGCATGGGCGTGGAGATAATGGGCGCCGCTGCCACCCGCAGGTCCGCTGATATGCCTGGGGGGGGGGGAGTGAAGGGGAGGGGAGGAAAGGGGGAGGGTTAAGCATGGGATGGGAAGAAGAGAGGAAGCTGGAGCAGAGAGAGTGAAAAGGGGATGGAAGAGGGCGGGAGGAAGGGAAGGAAGGGAGGAGTGGTGGTGGGGTGTGGGAAGCAGAGGGTGTGATGGGGTGGGAGCAGGGGTCCCAGAGGGGGGTGGTCCACCGGAGAGGATGTGGACGGTGGATGGAGCAGTGGAGGGCGGGGTTGGGGGGGTGGGGAGGCGGTTGTACCGGAGAGGATGTGGATGGCGGCGGAGACGGAGCGGAAGAAGGCGAGCAGCTTGCGGTTGTGGGCGCTGCGCGAGATGATGGACGCCGCTCTCAGCGCCAGCATCGTGCGGTCCCACGCCGCCGCCTCCTCCTCCGCGTCCCCCGCCTCCCCCGCGCCCCCTGCGCCCTCCCCCGCCCCCCTGCCCGCGCCCATGGCAAGCGACGCGATCCACAGCGTCGTGCTGCCCACCGCCGACCGGCTCTGCCCCTCTGATGCGCTGCCACCTGGCGCGTCTTGATTGGCCGATTGGTTTTCTGCAGACGCAGATGGCCCTCGTGCTGGAGGGAGGGAGGGAGAGATCGAGGGAGGCGGTGACAGGGAGGGAGGGAGGGAGGGATTTGAGTGAGAACTGAGTGGAGACAGAGCGGGCAGTGCAAGGGACCGACCTGAGGCACCTGAACGAACCACCACCAACGGCAAGCACTGCAACCAGAACCTCCGTCACGCAAGCCACCCAATCCATCACCCCAGCCACTCACATTTTGCCACGCGTGCAAACTCTGCCAGCTGGCGCGCCACGCACCGCACCACTTCCAGCGGGTGCCCCAGCCGCTGCCCGCCCGCCTCCCCCTCGCCCTCCGCGCCGTCGCCCCCGTGCGCGTCGTCGTGCGCGTCATCGGCGCGGCCGTGCGCGTCGGGGTCCGGTTCCGGCGGGAACCAGTCGGCGTACGCCTCGACGAGCGCCGACAGGAACACCAGCAGCGTCGCGCTCGCCGCCGCTGACGCGCCCTGCCCGCGCGCCGCGCGCAGAGGGAGCGATTGGAGGGAAGGGGGAGAGGGGGTGGAGGAGGGGGGAACAGGAGCAGTGAAAGCTGACGCGCAAGTTTTGAATTTTAGAAGACTCGTCGAACGGAGACTCATTCCCATTTCCCTCATCGTAAGTGCGCCTTCATATTCTTCTGAAATTTCTACAATCGCACCTCGCTGAACCACTCCTCACCTCTCTGCTGGACTCCTCGTACGCTTCTAGCAGCTGCTTCAGGCGCTGCTCCGTGGGATCGTCGCTTCTGCGGGGGAAGGGGCGCGCGGACGACACAGCGGAAAGGGGGAGTGATGAGCGGGGAGCGCGGAAGGCGCTTAGGGGGGGATGCAGTGGCGACGCGGACTGACTCGACGGACGGACATGGTCATGCTCGACAGCGCGCCAATGCCAGGTGCGACGACTACTGCGCGTGGCGACTACGACGAGATGAGCCTATTGCGCGACGGACTAGCGGCAGCGCGCGGCTAGAGCGGCGAGCGCGCGCACCTGAAGGGATACTTGGACCTCCATTCCTCCGGCACTGGCTTGTCCACGTCATCTACTGCCTCCGGTTTTGGCGGCGCCTTGGGGGTGCCGAGCAGCCAGCTGCCCGAAAGTAAGCCGTACACGGCGTCCATCGCAGCGCGCCGAGCCGGGCGCCGAGGCTAGCGGCGACGCCAGGATGCAGGCGACGCGGTGCGAAAGGGGATGGTGAACTAAGCGAAATTAGCGCACTCGGTCCAAATGCGCGGAGCGTTTTGAGAATGACATTTAGTTCAGAAGAAAAAAGCAGAAACTAGTGACAGATGAACGGAGTTTAATCGAAGCCGCTAAATGGCGTAGGAGAATGTCTGGCTTGACGTGCACTGTTAGTGGCCTACCTTACGCGCATGTCCTAGCATGCCTCCGTTCTGGCTCAGTCAAGTCAACCAGAATGACAGCAGCAGGGGCGCAAAGCATAGCACCCTCGGCAAAGCAGAGAGTCACAAGTGAAGCGAAGCACCTGGTGCTGCTGCTGCTGCTGTGCTGGGAGCTCGAGGTGGGAAGGGCTTGGCGGGAGGGACGGCGCCTTGGAATCTCCTCTTCGCCATGCCAGTCTGTTGACCCCAGGTGGCTTCAAATGAGGCGCCAATCACGGCGATGTAACCAGACTCACAACTGTTACAAAAATTGCAAATTTACTGAAACGTTTAAGCAAGAATTTACACTCCAAGCCAGCACACAAACACCCCAACTATTGTCAAGAGCAGCTGAGTGACTTGAAAACTGTGGGGACAGGATGCATGCATGCATGCCCCTCTGCCACCCCGCACATCAAATGCAATGTTTCTTATCCAAACCGAAGGCCTTCTGTGAAGGTACCTCTGGGTGTCGGGGAGGGGGGCTGCCTCAAGGCTTGTTTCAGTCAGCCAGCACCTCGATACCAACATCAAGCATCCGAGGCATTTGTATTTCTCAGCACATTCTTCCAACATCAAGCCATGGCCCATGTGTGTGTCCCATCATCAATATTCTCTCTCCTGCATAACCACCTCAACAGGAGGTGGCAGCACTACAAACTCGGTTCTCAAGCGCTCATGGAAGGTCTCTGGAGGGCAATCCAGCAGCCACTCCAGCGACCCCCTCACCCCGGCAGCCTGCGCCGCTCCCAGCCTCTCCTCCAGCACCTGCTCTCGGCACGCCAGGCACGGGGGGAAGGCCGCCACATCAGCATGCGACCTGTGCTGCAGCAGTATTGCAAGCTTCCTCTCAATTGTGTCCCCACGCTGCCCCAGTACCTGCGGGCACCCCGCCAGCAGCGTCGCCACCTGCTGCTGGGAGAACCCTCTCTCGTGCAGCCACTGCAGCTTTCCCTCTGCCTGCCGCCTGTCTGCCACCACCAGCTGTGGCAGCCCTGCCAGCACCCCTGGCACGGCCTCGGGCGGCACGTGGGCGTGAGAGGACAGCCACTGGACGGTGGGCGGCAGGAGATCAGACAGCGGCAGGGCGAGGAGGTGTGGGAAGGCGGTGACAGCGGCGCGCATGTGCGGCACGGTGAGGCTGGCAGCACGCAGGGCGGCGAGTGCGGGGTGCAGCTGGGCATGCAGGTCCAGTGCGAGCAGGTGGGGGCGCGCCTGCAGCAGCCTTGCGACCTGGGGGAGCGGCAGCGCGAGGGCGCGTGAGAGGAGGTCGACCTTGGGGCGGATGGTGGTGGCGGCGCGCATGGTGAGGAGGTGCGGCAGCTGCACGATCATGGCGCCGATGGCCTTGGGATCCACGCCCACGCCCACCAGGTACGCCACGCTCGTGCTCATGCTGCCCTCGGGTCGCAGCCCCAGCAGGTGCGGGCAGCGCGTGAGCACGGAGGGCAGCGCGGCGGGCGGCACGCCGAGGCCGAGCAGGTAGTGCAGGACGGGCTGCAGGTCGATGCGCACGGAGGAGAAGAGCACGCGCGGGTACGCGGTGAGCAGTGCGGGCAGGTGTGCGCGCGCGATGGGGATGCTCTCCAGGTGCGCCAGCACCGGCACGTAGTTGCGCGCTATGCTCCCGCACAGCACCGGAGGATACCGCCCCACAACCTGCGGGGACAAGGGCGGAGGGGGAAGAGGGGAAAAAGGGCCAGCGAGGAGGAGATGTGAGGGAAAGGAAGACACACAGGGTGGGCGGAATGATGCCCTCCCTCCCCGCCACTTGTAGCGCCCTCCCACCCACCTCAGCGACGTCGAGGCGGAGAGCGCGCAGGAATTGCACGCGCTCGCGCACGACGCGCACGTCGAGCGGCAGCGCCACCCCCTCCAGCAGCTCCGCCGCCACGCCCTCCCCCTCCAGGTACGCCACCACCGCCGCCCGCCGCGCCCCCTCCGCGCCCGCCTGCTCCTCCCCCGATTGCGCGTCGTGTCCCGCCTCTCCTGCGCTCTCGTGCGCCCGCTTCTCCCCATCCGCAGAGTCACTGAATTCCTCCTCCCACCACTCCCTCTCGCCCTCTCCCTCGCTCTCACCTTCCTCGTCACCCATCACTCGTATCCGTGCCTCTTCCCCTCCTCTAGTCTCCGCTTCCCCTCTCCCAACCCCATACGCCACAATATTTCGGCCCACCACTGCGCTTCGTCCGCCTCTCGCGCGCTTCGCGCAGTGTTCCCCCCCTTCACCGCGCCCCCACGCCCTGATTCCGCGAGCAGCAAGCGAGCATCGGGAGGCTAAAAGGCTCATCTCACTCGCCGATACCGAGCCAGTCGTTACATGCCCACTCGATACATGCCCATTTGTTACAATCCCTCGCGCTCCTCGCTGGGTCGCGGTCGGCTGTGAGGCGATGAGCGCGCGGAGGGTGTCGCAGGGGGCGGGGGCGCGCGGACATGGCGCATGGCGCAGAGAGATGCAGTAAAGCGGGAGGCGCGGCAGTGGGAGTTGCAGGGTGGATGGGCGCGGGCGAGGGGGGTGGAGAATCTGCATGCGGAGCAACGAGAGGCGGCGCGATGTCAGCATGCGTGGCGACACGACGACGCCAACGGTCGGCGCACGCGCGCTCACGACAGATGGCGGGGAGGACGCGGGAGCGAGGTTTGGGGTGCAGCGAGGAACATTGGCGATTGTAACTGAAACCGCGAAATTGATCAGTTTTGAGGTGGGGCTGACATCAACCTGCAGCAACCTTCATAAAACATCTCCTGCCAGTCGTGCCTCGCATTTCGCATCTCACACCCCACCGCACCAACTAGCCTGTGCTTGTCACGCCACTGCTCTAGTCCGCTCTGCACGACCACGCGCAGCGCGAAGCCCGCACCTCTCGTCCCTCCGGGCCGACCCCATGGCCTCTCTTCGCGCGCCCACGGCGCTCACGCACTCCCTCTGCTTCCCGCGCGCCACGTGGCACTCCGCCGCAGCAAGCGTCTCGTCAATGGCGCAGCCCGTTCGTGTGAGTGCCGCCTGGCCGGTGCGTGTTCTGCCCGGCGCACTCCGCGCGCCCATGCCGCACGTGGTGCATCACTCTCACCCGTCGCTCCCCGCGAGCATTCACTCGTTCCCCGCGCCTCAGCGCCTTATGTTCGTCGCTTGTACTTCGCGCGCCCATGACTTCAGCTGCCGCTCCTCCTTCCGCTTCCCACCCTTGCGCTCCTCTATGCCTTCCCCTGCCGTCGCACCCGCGCTGCCCGCTTCCGTTTGCGCCGCTCTGCAGTGGCGCCACTGGCCTCTCTCGTCCCCTTCCTCTAACAACTCCCCCCCTCCTCCGTCCCCTCCAATTCCTTTTCCCCCTTTCCCCCTCGCTTCCCAGCGCCTGCCAGTCCTGCGCGCGTCAGCCTCCCCCGATCCGTCCCCCGCGCCAGTGGAACCAGAAGCGACCCACTCCCCAATCCCCGTCCCCCCGCCCGGGTGGGCGGAGCAGCAGCAGCAGGAGGCGGAGGCGACGGCGGAGGAGCGGGACGGAGTGACCATCAGGCGGAGGCCGCCGGGCGGGGCGGCGGCGCACATGGTGGGGCCGTTCCAGTTCCGCGTGGGGGGCAAGGTGGAGGAGAACGTTCCGCGAAACATCCTGGAGGAGATCGTGTGGCACAAGGACGGCGAGGTGGCGGCGTTCAAGGAGCGCACTCCGCTCTCCGCGCTCGCGCGCGCGCTCGAGGGCGCTCCGCCCGCCAGGGACTTCGTGGGCGCGCTGAGGGCGCGCGAGGCGGAGACGGGCTTGCCAGCGCTGATCGCGGAGGTGAAGAAGGCGTCGCCCAGCCGCGGCGTCATCCAGCCCGACTTCGACCCTGTAAGGCCCCGGCCACCCCCCCCACGCTCCCGCCCCCCCTCACTCCACCCCCCCTTACTTCCGCGCGCTGCTATCCATTGGCCGGATCTGGCGCTTTTTGTCTTCGCCTGTGCTGCTGCTCGCATTGCGCTCGCCCCGCCCTGCACTGTGCTTTGCCCCTGGCGTTACTCACCTGCAATCACCCACCCTTTGCTTTCTCCCCCCCTCTGCCTGTGCCCCTCTCGTTCCTACCTGCCTGCACCCCCTCTCCTATTCCCCCCCCCCAGGTGCGCATAGCCAAGGCGTACGAGCAGGGCGGTGCGGCGTGCCTGTCAGTGCTCACAGACTCCAAGTTCTTCCAGGTGCCTCTCTCTCACACTCACACTTGCACCAGCTGTCAATTCCCCCACCTACACTCACTGGGTGCTCGTTATGAACCCGTGCTGCCACGCAACAGCATTTACATGGAAAGATCATGCCCGTCATCCCTCTCACTCTCACCCAACATTGCCCACGCACTACGTCCCGCCCACCACCCAACGTCCGTCATCCAACCGCCCACCACCACCACCTTCCCCATCACTTTCCTCACGCCTCTCCTCGCCCTCCCTGCTCCCCTCCACCCCCCAACTTGCTGCCCCCCTCAGGGCAGCTTTGAGAACCTGGAGCTGATCCGGGCAGCAGGAGTGGAATGCCCGCTGCTGTGCAAGGAGTTTGTGGTGGACGCGTGGCAGGTGTACTGTGCGCGCACCAAGGCCGCGGACGCCGTGCTGCTCATCGCCGCTGTGCTGCCCGACCAGGACCTGCGCTATCTCATGAAAATCACTCGCTCGCTCGGCATGGCCGCCCTCATCGAGGTGCCCCCCTCCCTCCCGCCCTGCTGCCCTGCCACCCACCCACCCTCTCACCCTGCCACCCTTCCGCCTGCTGCCCTGCTCCCTTTCCCTACCTGCCCTTGCCTCGCCGCCCTCGTGCCCGTTCCCCCTTGCCCGTTTCGCCCATTGCACTCTGCCCCCTGCCCACTCTGCCCCCTGCCCACTCTGCCCCCTGCCCGCCTGTCCCCCTGCCATGCCCCCCCCCCCAGGTGCACACGGAGAGGGAGATGGACCGCGTGCTGGCACTGGAGGGCGTGACGCTCATCGGCATCAACAACCGCGACCTCGGTGCGGCCCCGCCCTCACACTGCCCCCGCCCTGGCTATGCCCACCACCACTTGCCTGCCTGCTGCCATGCTGCTCTGCCATGGGTTACAGCACATGCCGCTGCCTCCTTGCCCCCCTTGCACCCGCATCTCCCCAAGCTCCGTCCTTGTACCACATGCCACCCACCTTCTCCGCCCTTTCTCCCTCCTTCCCGCCCTCCCCCCTACGCCCTGCCCCAGGCACGTTCAAGGTGGACATAGGCAACACGCAGCAGCTGCTGGCCGGGGAGAGGGGCGCCGCCATCCGGGAGAGAGGAATCATGGTGAGAGGGGGACGCATGATGGTGAGGGGGGGAGGCATGATGGCGAGCGGGGAAGGCATGATGGTGAGGGGGGGAGGCATGATGGTGAGGGGGGGAGACATGATGGTGAGGGGGGAGGGATGATGGTGAGGGGGGGAGGCATGATGGTGAGGGGGGAGGGATGATGGTGAGGGGGGGAGGCATGATGGTGAGGGGGGAGGGATGATGGTGAGGGGGGGAGGCATGATGGTGAGGGGGGAGGGATGATGGTGAGGGGGGGAGGCATGATGGTGAGGGGGGAGGGATGATGGTGAGGGGGGGAGGCATGATGGTGACGCGGGGAGGGCAGAGAAGATGTTCAGCCGGGATGAGCAAGTGTATACTGGCATGTGTCTCTCACATGAGCAAGTGTATTCTGGCATGTGTCTCTCACATGCGCACCATGCATCAATCACCCTCTACTGTGCCACCTCTGCCCTCCATGCCCCCATGACACCATGCACGCCATGCCTCCATGCCCCCATGCATGTATTGCTGCTCTCCATGCCCCCATGCGCTCATGGTGTGCTGTGAGTGAGGCAGGTGGTGGGCGAGTCAGGCCTCTTCACTCCCGATGATGTTGCCTTCGTGCAAAAAGCAGGCTGCAATGCTGTGAGTGCACCTTGCAATGCCTGCTTGCCCAACCTGCCTGCCCAACCTGCTTGCCCAGCCTGCTTGCCCAACCAGCTTCCCCAACCTGCTTGCCCAGCCTCGCCATGCCCCACTAACCCACCGTTCCTCATGTTTATCTGTTACGAGCCGCACCAACCCCCTCCTCTCCACCCCTTCCCCCCCCACAGCCATGTGGGCCGCATGCCTTGCTCTCACCTCCTCCATCTCCTGCTCCTGTCCTCCTCATCCGCACCCTCTCCCTCCCTCCCCCTCTCTTCCCCCCAGGTGCTGGTGGGCGAGTCTCTCGTGCGCACCAGCGACCCCACGGCCGCCATTGCTGCTCTCTTCGGCCGCCCCATCACCACCGCACCAGGCCAGCCTGACCCCACTCAAGCACGCGCGCCAGCATGAGCGCAGCGCCCAGGCATTAGAAAAAGGACCAAGGAGATCCGTGTGGTGTGTGCAGGGATGGATGTGAGAGAGAGCGAGAGGCAAGTGCGGGCATACTACCGTATGTGGAGCAGATTCCTTGACAAGAGCTGCATGTGTCATTGCGTAAAACTTCTGATGTGTTCTATGCAGTCTGTTGGACGGTTTCGTGTGGCCCACGCCAAGCACTAGATTATTTGGCCAAGCGGCGGCCTTTACTCATGTAACAGGTTCTGCTATATGCTCGTAATGCACATCACAGTGGTCATTTAGCGTGGAAATCGAAGCAAGAGTGCTATTGGCAAAGAGAGCAGCGAAGTAAGCAAAGGAGCTAGCATGCGCCACCTGCAGCACAGCAGAGGCGCGTGACAGCAACCACCAGTCCGCCAGCCCATGCAGCCCCCCCTGCCCCGCCTGCCCATCAGCACCCGCCTTGGACGTGTGGCGCACAGCTGCTGCGGACCAGTACACCTGTACCCCCCCCATGCGCTGCAGGCGCTCCACAAACGCAGGCCGCAGCTCCTCATTGTCTGTCGCCACAAACACCGCCACCCTCCTCCCTCCTCGTGCTCCTGCCAAGTATAGTGATTGCGAGTCCGCATGGACACTGCTGCTGGTGCTGGTGCTGGTGCTGGTGGTGGAGTTGGCAGCGAGGAGGGCGATGGTGGAGAGCACGCAGCGCCACAGGCAGTCCTGCAGGAAGGGCGAGGTGGAGGGGTGGGCGCCTGCATCGGTGCACCCCTGCCATTGTGTGTCGGTGCTGCCGGGCTTGACTGCCTTCTCCACGGCCAGAGTGCGAGTGCGCACATGCACCGCCACGTCAAACCACACCGCCCCCTCCCCCGTCACCTCCCCTTGCAGTGCCGCCCCTACACCCCTCGCCCCTTCCTTTCTTGCAACCTCACCCGCCACGCCCAGGAGATGCCGTGCTGTGGGCTGCCCAGGGGCCGCCCCACCTGTCGTCTGCCCCTTTTGCGTCTGTCGTCCCGCCATGTGCCCTGCACCTGCCCTCTCACCACCCTTCCTCCCTACCCCCCCAGACTTCCCCTCGTCCCCTGCGCCTGCACGGCGCACCTCCTTCCCCCCACTGCCGGCTGGGCCGTGCAGCACAGAGCGGGCGGCGAGCAGCAGGGCGGGGGAGGGGCCGGCGCCGAGGAGGGAGAAGAGGGCTTTGGAGCGCACACAGTGGAGGGAGGCGCAGTGGAAGGCGGCCAAGACACAGGCGCGCAGCGGGGGCGAGCGCTCCCAGAAGGCATCAAAGAAGGTGCCGGCGCGTGTGGCCAGTAGGGGGTAGTCCGATGGCACTGTCTCTGCCACCGCTGCAGTGGGCATGGCAAGGGGGGGGGAGAGGGGCATGCAGCACAGGACAGAGGAGCACTCTAGCGTGGCAGTGCAGCATGCAAGGGCAGGGTGCACTGAGCCTAAACTGAAACATGCAAAGAATCGATTTCCTTGTGTTGTGTGGCAAGTGTGATTACCATGGGGCGTGTCGGAGATCTCAAGGAAGAACATGGGGTCCAGCGCCCTCACTGCCCCCATCACCTCCTCTGCCTCCCTCTCCCTCTCGCCCTCACTCCCCCCCCTGCCGCCCTGCCCTGCAGTGGCAGCGAGCGAGAGCGGGCCTTGCAGCGCGGGGAAGGCGCAGTGGAAGGCGAGGCAGAGCGCGTCCAGCACGCGGCTGTGCTGCGCGGCGTGGGCGCGCACGAGCGTGCGGCCTGACAGCACGGCGTAGGGCACGGCGGACACCCACCCTCGCAGTGTGTTACCCACGCCGTGCCTCGGCAGCACCAGCAGCCACCGCCTGTCTGGCAGTGTGAGGTCCGCCACTGAGAGGTGCGCCGTGGGGGGCACACGCGCTCTGATGCGGTTGGGGAGGGGGGTGCAGTGAGGGATGGGGATGGGAGAGAGATGGGGATGGGGGAGGGATGGGGATGGGAGAGGGATGGGGATGGGAGAGGGATGGGGATGGGAGAGGGATGGGGATGGGAGAGGGATGGGGATGGGAGAGGGATGGGGATGGGAGAGAGATGGGGATGGGGGAGGGATGGGGATGGGAGAGAGATGGGGATGGGGGAGAGATGGGGATGGGAGAGGGATGGGGATGGGAGAGAGATGGGGATGGGAGAGGGATGGGGATGGGAGAGGGATGGGGATGGGAGAGGGATGGGGATGGGAGAGGGATGGGGATGGGAGAGGGATGGGGATGGGAGAGGGATGGAAATGGGAGAGGGATGGGGATGGGAAGGGATGGAAATGGGAGAGGGATGGGGATGGGAGAGAGATGGAATTGCAGGGGGGAAAGTGAAGGGAGGGCGAGTATGAGAGAGGGAGAGAGGGAGCAGTAAGGAAGTTAATGCGTGTGTGTGGGAGAGAGCACGCACACGTTGAGTGGCTGGATGTCAGAGGGCAGCAGCGAGGAGCACTGGTGGACACCCTCTGAGTTCACAGCCGTGCCTCTCTGGAACGCCGTCCACCACGCCTCCCGCTGCATTGCTTGCACGCCGTACTGCTGCCCGCCTCCGCCACCACTGCTCCCCGCTGCCCCCGTGCTCGCCCCCTCGCCGCCCTGCTCGCCCCTTGAAACCTCTACCCGCTGCTCCCTCACGCCCCCACCGCCCACACCTCGCTGGCTCTGCTCCCCCGCAGCCCTTGCTCTCAGCCTCGCCCCTCTGCTGCCCCACTCCTGTCCCTGCAGCGCCTCCCTCCTCCGCGATTCACTCAGCCCCCCGCCCATCTCACCCTCCCCCACACCCTTCCAGTTGCGCCAACCCCAACTCCCATTCCCCGCGCTCTCCGCATCCCCCTGTGGCGCCAGCCCTTGGCCCATGTTCCCCCCTCCTCCCCACCCACCCGCAAAGCGGCCGTCTCTGTCGCCGGATAGTCGCAGGTCCCCGTCGCTGGGCCAGATGGTGTGTCGCATGGCGTCGTCGCCGGCTCGTCGCAGCACGGGGAGACGCCATGGATAGGAGACCGCCCGCCGCCATCGCCCGCCACCCGCCAACGGAGCCAGAGCGAGCGCGATCCCCGTTAAGGACAGCACCGCTACCAAGCTGCGCTGCCATCGTGCGCGTGGGGCACGCGGTCGAATGGGCGCAAGCTGGCGCGAGGTGGAAAGCGCAGGGCGCGCGAGGTGCGGCGGTCGTAGCGGCTCCCTGCCCCGGCAGTAGCTGCGATCGTCGGTGTCGCGGCCTCGCGGCGTGGCGCGTGACGCGGCGACGAGCGATCTGGAAGGAGGGCGGCGAGTGGCGTCGCGAGGGTCAGGCGCGGCGGCGTTGTTGGATGTGGGAGAGGCGGGCGCGCGGAGCATGGCTCAAGCGAAGCAGCGAAGCGCGCGTACCTGTCACCCGATGGGAAGCAGGCAACAGCGAAGGCGAATTCCTGAAACTTTGATGTCGCCTGGAATTACTGCATAATCTATCCCCGATATTTGACTTTCCTGCCAGTGTTTCTTTCAAACCCAGCACATTGATGAGAATCTGTTTTTTTCGAAGCACAACATCTGTGTGAGCCCTTTGGCTGTGGTCCGAGCCGAACCAAGCTCACCACCGAGCCTTGCAGTTCGGTTGGAAACGCGAAAGGGGCGTGGTTTCCACCATACCTGGGGAGCGGAATGCCCGCCCCCTGTCCCCCCTCGCTGCCTTTGATTGCTCAACTCTTTCCCCTTCTCCCCTTTCGCCTTGATTCCCCGCGAGAGGCGCCATGGGTCGCCGTAAGTGCCGCGCACGTCTCGCTCAGCCCGCGCATTGCGCCCGTTTGCGCGTTTATAATTTCCGCCGGCGCGGACGGCTGCTGACTCAACTCTTTCGTTTCTCGTTGGGTGCTCTTCTCCTTGCGCCCGCCGCCAGGCCCCGCGCGATGCTACCGCCAGATTAAGAACAAGCCGTACCCCAAGTCGCGCTACTGCCGCGGTGTCCCCGGTACGTCGTCAATTCCCGCACTCTTGCAGCGTCCCGCCTTTTAAGGATTCACATTGCGCGTGAGGTGGCTGACTCTGGTCGTGGCGCGGCTGACTGCGGGTGTGGTTGGTGGTCGGTGGGGTGATGGGTATGGCGGGCGGGGCGGGGGGCGCAGATGCGAAGATCCGCATTTACGATGTGGGCATGAAGAAGCGGGGCGTCGACGAGTTCCCCTTCTGCATCCACCTCTTCAGGTGCGACCGCCTCGTCAGGTGCGACCGCCTCGTCAGGTGCGACCGCCTCGTCAGGTGCGACCGCCTCGTCAGGTGCGACCACCTCGTCAGCAAACCGCCTCTTTGTAGTGCCATATGTCCGTGTTACGACGTTACGATGTCAGCACGTCTCGTGCCGACGGGAGTTCGCGTGCCGCGGCTAAACGCTTTGCTCGCCGCGTGGTACGCTCAGCCCTGTTCCATCGTGCTCGTGGCAGCCGTCGATGCTGACGACAGCAAGGGGTGCAGGCAGGCACGCGCTGGTGATGGCATTCGGGGATGCGAGTAGGGGAATATCGGCTGGCGAGCGGTCGCTGCGGGGATTAGAGGAGATCTGGATCGTTGGAATCAGCTTATATGTCGTGTCGATAGAAGCGGACGGTATTAGCTCCCCAGCAGCAACCCGAGTTGAGCCAGTTTTCGGTTGGACGATAGAGGCACCCGTTAGCGCTGGGAAGCTGCTTTATCGAATCGAGTGGCGTCGCGGCGCTGGCGTAGCGTCGCTGGGCGCTCGTGGCGGGTGCCCTTGAGGTCACGATCGAGGTGACGGGCGGAATTCGAGGGGCTTCTGGATTCGGTAACGCGTGCCGTGTTTGCTGCCTTGAGGGGCAGCGTGCTCACGCAGCCTTGTGTGCTCCGCCCTGCATTCTCTCCCGTTCCCCATCACTTCACCCCATTCCCTCTCACTCGCCGGATTTCTGTCCATTCGCTGTCCCTCCGCTCCGCGCTCCCCCCTTTCCGCTCTCTTTTCTCCCCTCGGCGCCCTCCCGCCGTCCTGCGAGCGTACAGTTGGGAGAAGGAGAACGTGTCAAGCGAGGCGTTGGAGGCGGCGCGGATGGCGTGCAACAAGCACATGACCAAGTACGCGGGCGGGCAAGGACGCCTTCCACCTGCGCATCCGCGTGCACGCCTTCCACGTCCTCCGCATCAACAAAATGCTCTCCTGCGACGGCGCCGATAGGTGCGCGCTCCTACCCCCCCCCACTGATAGGCGCGCTCGCCTGCCCCTCCGCTGATAGGCGCGCTCTCCCACGCATTGCGTTCTACTTTGCGCAACCCAAGGGTGGTTCGCTCCTAGGGATTTTCGTGTTTTGGGTGGTATGCCCTGACTCAATGCGCGTTCATTGTGTGCGCGCTCATCGTATGCGCGGTGGTGCACTGCGCAGGCTGCAGGGCGTTTGGAAAGCCACAGGGCGTGTGTGCGCGCGTGGCCATCGGGCAGGTGCTGCTGTCGGTGCGCTGCAAGGAGGCCAATGCCGCTGTCGCCGCCGAGGCTCTGCGCCGCACCAAGTTCAAGTTCCCCGGGCACCAGAAGGTCATTGCCAGCCGCAAGTGGTGAGTGCATGGGCGCGCGGCAGAGTCGAGGTGCGCACGAGGAAGCAGTGTGAGGGGAAGGCAGTGTGAGGGGAAGGCAGTGTGAGGGGAAGGCAGTGTGAGGGGAAGGCAGTGTGAGGGGAAGGCAGTGTGAGGGGAAGGCAGTGTGAGGGAAGGCAGTGTGAGGGAAGGCGAGCAAAATCTTGGTGTACTGGGGAGGCCGATGAAGGGCCAATTGCTCCCTCGCATCCCACCACCTTACCCTGCCCTCGCATCCCACCACCTTACCCTGCCCTCGCATCCCACCACCTTACCCTGCCCTCGCATCCCACCACCTTACCCTGCCCTCGCATCCCACCACCTTACCCTGCCCTCGCATCCCACCACCTTACCCTGCCCTCGCATCCCACCACCTTACCCTGCCCTCGCATCCCACCACCTTACCCTGCCCTCGCATCCCACCACCTTACCCTGCCCTCGCATCCCACCACCTTACCCTGCCCTCGCATCCCACCACCTTACCCTGCCCTCGCATCCCACCACCTTACCCTGCCCTCGCATCCCACCACCTTACCCTGCCCTCGCATCCCACCACCTTACCCTGCCCTCGCATCCCACCACCTTACCCTGCCCTCGCATCCCACCACCTTACCCTGCCCTCGCATCCCACCACCTTACCCTGCCCTCGCATCCCACCACCTTACCCTGCCCTCGCATCCCACCACCTTACCCTGCCCTCGCATCCCACCACCTTACCCTGCCCTCGCATCCCACCACCTTACCCTGCCCTCGCATCCCACCACCTTACCCTGCCCTCGCATCCCACCACCTTACCCTGCCCTCGCATCCCACCACCTTACCCTGCCCTCGCATCCCACCACCTTACCCTGCCCTCGCATCCCACCACCTTACCCTGCCCTCGCATCCCACCACCTTACCCTGCCCTCGCATCCCACCACCTTACCCTGCCCTCGCATCCCACCACCTTACCCTGCCCTCGCATCCCACCACCTTACCCTGCCCTCGCATCCCACCACCTTACCCTGCCCTCGCATCCCACCACCTTACCCTGCCCTCGCATCCCACCACCTTACCCTGCCCTCGCATCCCACCACCTTACCCTGCCCTCGCATCCACCACCTTACCCTGCCCTCGCATCCCACCACCTTACCCTGCCCTCGCATCCCACCACCTTACCCTGCCCTCGCATCCCACCACCTTACCCTGCCCTCGCATCCCACCACCTTACCCTGCCCTCGCATCCCACCGCCTTACCCTGCCCTCGCATCCCACCACCTTACCCTGCCCTCGCATCCCACCACCTTACCCTGCCCTCGCATCCCACCACCTTACCCTGCCCTCGCATCCCACCACCTTACCCTGCCCTCGCATCCCACCACCTTACCCTGCCCTCGCATCCCACCACCTTACCCTGCCCTCGCATCCCACCACCTTACCCTGCCCTCGCATCCCACCACCTTACTCTGCCCTCTGTGCCAATCTGCTTCTGCTCATCCCCCCTCCTTGCCCGTGGTGTGAGGCAGGGGCTTTACGAAGATCGCTCGCGCTGACTTTGTGAAGTGGAAGCAGGAGAACAGGCTGGTGCACGATGGAGTCAACGCCAAGGTGGGTCCACACCACACCACGCTCATGGAACCTCCACTTCACTGCACCCTTTTCTGTGCTGCGTCACTTCTCATCGTGCTTCCATGATCCATGCCTCTCGCAGCCTTACATTCTCTCCCTTCTCACTGTTGCCTGTCCCATACGCCCTCTACCAGGTTCCAGTTGCTGGGTAACCACGGCACTCTTGCTAACAGGAAGCCAGGCCAGGCCTTTCTTGTTGGAAACAAGTGATTTATAGTGCTCGTATCGACGCTGAGACACAAAACGGAACTAACTACAGCGAAGTATCACGCGAGTCAACTGTCGGAGGTTACGCGAAGGTCAAAGGTCCCCGACCTTTGACCTGACGAAATGTACAGTGCGACAGCAAGGACATATAACTGACTCGTTACAGAGCAGTTACCCGAGTCGGCACTGTATCGAACCGCAACAGCAAAAACAGTTAAAATAGAACCCTTTCATATTCTTTGTAATCATATAAAAGCTTGTATCCTCTTGTTATTATCAACTTACTTTGCCCTCATATACCAGCGCAAGGTGGTTCACAATCTTTTATTAAACGCTTCCGCTATTACATCATCCTACTCTTGAATTCTGTCCTGTAAAGATCCTAAGGGCCTTCTCAGCCCAACATGGTATGAGAGCGGTCATGACAAATTCAACTACGATCAAGATATCTACGACATCACAAGACATGGCAACGCAGAAGGAGAGAAGCTCCTCTAACGGCTCTCCTGGCACTACTCCTACTCCACCTCCTGCCTCTGGCCTACAGACAGAGGAGGGTACGACAACAAGACCAAGGGCATCGTCTTCGGAAACTCCCGCAAATCAAGCTGCGGCCTTCGATCCAGACATGATGGAGAAGTTCTTCTCCTTCATGTCCTTCTACGAACAGCACCAGCAAGGGGCACCTGCACAGTCAAACAACAGCAACAACAACAACGCAACACCAATGAGCCTAGATGGTTCATCGTACGCACGCGGAAATCAACAGCAACGGCCTACCTTTGCTCCGTATGAGCCCCAGCGTGGTTCCGTCAGCTTTATGCCACACCCGCAGCCTGCATCCGGACATGAAAAGACACTGGATGCACTTCAAGTTCAGTCGCAGTTCGCGCACGTCTTAAAACTGCAAACGACAAGGCCTTTCGACGGAAAGGACTTCTTTACCTGGTCATTCGAGTTCGAGCTTATGATGGAAGGCGCACAGATCCTTGGCTTCTTCGACGGGTCCCTGCCATATCCAACACACGGCACACAGTACGATAAGCAGCAGTACACGTATCAGTCAATGATGGCGTACACAATACTGCTGAGAAATATCACTCCAAGTCAGCAGCAGAACATACGGTCTTACCGGGGTTATGGCAACTCTGCAGAGCTCGCGTACAACCACCTGAAGAACCTGTATCAAGCAACAGACAGCGTAAACCAAAGTTGGTTAATGGCGCAACTGACGACAGTCGAAATGAAACCAGGCGAAAAGGGGATGGCGTATATCAGCCGTTGTCGCGAATTGCGCGACAAACTCCTTCGATGCGGAGGGTCGATTTCAGAAGACGCCTTCGTCACAGTCATCATCGGCGGCCTCGGTCCTCAGTGGCGCTCCACCCGCGCCATATTCCGAGCGCATGGAAAGATATCAGAAACAGCACTCTGCGCCGAAATCCATGCTGAGCAGCAAGACATGGACCTGCAAGAGGAACGACACAAGAAGAAGGCATCAGTACCCGAATTTGCATTCCACACTCAACGACGCTACAACAACAACAATCGGCATCAACCGAAATCAGTACCTCCGTTCTGTCACCTTTGCAAGATGTCAGGGCATCCTCGCTCACACTGCCCTAACCGACAACAGTCAGTACCAACGCAGCGGCAGCTTCGGCCTTCAAGCAATCAAGTTGCCTCAACGCAAGCGAGTTCGACTCCTCAAGTACAAGCCTCAACGTCATCGACGGGACAACATGCGCAAGGAACAAGAAACATCGTCAGTTGCATGACACGACTGACCGACTCCTGCATCACAGAGTCACCACCATATTACTCACATGAAGAGCAACTTGACAACAACACGCCTCGCCGCGAGTCACTTCAACCAAATCCGACGTATGCAGCTATCGCTCAAAGTGAGCCGTCCGGAAAAGATACGTGGTTCTTGGACAGCTGCTGTGGACAGCACATGTGTTCTTCAGGACGTTTTGTTCAACGTGAACACCAACTTCAACGCGAGCTTGTCATCACCGTCGCCAACAATCAGAACCTGCGCACACGACGACAAGACGTAGTGCAACTTCAGTCACGAGAGACAAACGTTATACTGCAAATGTCAAAGGTTTTAATAGCAGAGGGACTCGGCTACAACTTACTAAGCGTCAGCCAACTAATGGCGAAAGGGATCCATCTTGAAGCAGACAGCACCACACAGGAGTTCAAGCTCTTCCACGGTCGAGGAGGACTCTACATCGGCAAAGCAGTACTGAAGAATAATGTCTTCGTCCTCGACTTCGTCCCAGATCTCGGCACTGCTGACAGCGACGGGATCGTCACCTTCACCTCTTGGACACATCCACCGGATTTTGACCCCGACTTCAGCCCAGAAGGCTTCTGGTACTCGCACACCATCCTAGAAGCAGAACGAACAAGAGCATTAGCAACGATTCAACACTCGGCAGCAGCAGAAACAACATCGGCAACACCAACAACACTTACAACACCAGTCGCAAGTTCTTCAACGACATCGCCACACATCGACAATACTTCACCGACTCCTGCGCAGCAGCTAACTCCCACTCCTCGCGAAATTCACAGAAGCGCCACCTTCACACCCGGACATCGCGCCAGCGAAGACATCTGGCACGCACGAATGGGACATCCAAGTAATACGATGTTAAACAACACAATCAGAGCAGGAGTTCTCGACAAAGACTCACTACTTCTAACTGACGGAAGTGAACTTCGACGAGCGCGAGGAACGTGTTTTACCTGCCCCGAAGCTGACTTACCGCATCGACCTTTCACTTCTCACCACAACCCCAGCGCACCAACTTACGCACCACTTGAAAAGGTGTACAGCGACATCCAGTACAATCGCGAACCCGGACAAGGAGCATACAGTTATACCATCACGTTCATCGATGCAGCTACACGTTACGTTTGGCACCTCAATCTTCCAAGCAAGGATATGGCCTTCGAAGCCTTCATCGCTTGGCTCCCAGTAGCAGAACGAGAATCAGGCGAGAAACTAAAAAGCTTCCATTCAGACGGAGGAGGAGAATACACCTCACAGAGGTTCAAGCAGTTCTTGGCAGAAAAGGGAATCAAAAGGCTCATCTCGCTTCCTTACGCCCATCAACAGCAAGGCGTGGCGGAACGGATGAATCGAACTCTCCAGAACACCATGCGCAAATTACTGCGTGGCATGCGACTGCCCAATCACCAGTGGCCTGAAGCGATGGACCACGCTATCATGCTGCACAACTTGCTTTCGTCGTCGTCACTACCGAACAACGCATCACCGCACCTGCTGTGGACAGGAAAACAGGGCAGCACAAAAATGTTAAGAGTTTTCGGCTGCATGGTACAGTACCGACCCCCATCTGCACGAGCCGGCCGATTTTCCCTGCGAGCACAGTGGGGACTACACCTGGGCATCGAAAGAAATTACAACGCGTGGAAGATTTTCGACGTCCACTCCAAGGAAACAGTAGCAGCACGTGACGTCATTTTCTACGAACGACTCACCCTTCCGACATATCTTGCCAACCTGGAAGAAAATCGGGATCCCACAGGTGGCTTCCATGGTGACCGACACTTCGCCTCGGCAGCAGACGAAGCTGACTGGGACGAGCAGAACGTGGATAACGCCTCAGACGAAGCAGGACCACTCCCATACTGCTCCGTTCCTATCCCGATGGATGACGAAAATCCTCGCGAAAGCGTCAACGCCGAAACTTATTTCGACCTCGCCGACACTGGTTACGTTACACATGCAGAAGTCAACACCAACGAAGCAGAATGCATAGGGCCCAATTTCATACCTGACCCAGAAACAGGTGACGAAGCAGCTTATCCCGCGGATACAACACTCCCCCGCTACACACAGAGTGGCCTTCAGATACTTGGTCTCGTCACCGCGGTCCACGGCACGGATACTCCTAAGGAGCCTGCCACAGTTTAGCAGGCTCTTGGGGGGGAGCATAAGGAAAAATGGCATGAAGCCATGGACAAGGAACTGAAAGCACTACAGGAGCGCAACACCTGGAAAGTTGTTCCTATCGGCGTGGCACGCAACAAGACAATACTCACCGGGAAATGGGTCTTCCGTGTGAAGACGAAAGCAGATGGCACCATCGACAAGTTCAAGGTGTCAGAGTTATATGACATAGCTACTGTAGGCTATAGTGGGGTAGCACATATGGGGTACAGTTGCCTAGGGTTTGCCTTTTGTACCCAACTTTCACTTAGTCATTCTCATTCCTGTTTTCTTGATTCACATGGTATAGAGCGGGTTCCTACATGGGACCGTTCCTTCCTAAGGGCCCACCATAAGAATTTTTTTTTTTAGCTGCCCGCGCACATTGCGCCCTGCCCTAGAATTTTTTTTTTTTTAGCGGCCCCTACGCTGCCCCTACGCGGCCCCTACGCCGCCTCCCACGCGCCCCCTATGCGGCCCCTGGCGGCGCCCTGACGAGGCCCCTGCCGGCGCCCTATCGCGGCCCCTGACGCGCCCCCTGGTGGCGCCCTGACGCGGCCCTGACGCGGCCTGACGCGGCCCCTGGCGGCGCCCTGACGCGGCCCTGCCGTGGCCCCTGACGCGGCCCTGACGCGGCCTGCCGCGGCCCCTGCCGCGGCCCTGAAGCGGCCCCTGACGCGGCCCTGACACGGCTCTGCCGCGGCCCTGACGCGGCCCTGACGCGGCCCTGCCGCGGCCCCTGGCGGCGCCCTGACGCGGCCCCTGACGCGGCGCCCTGACGCGGCCCCTGCCGCGGCCCTGA